GTTTGTTTTTGTGGTAAGTGAGAAAACCAGTTGGACAACCTCATACTCTCATTTCCTAGGGAAGGATTGATATAAATCAGCATTTCCACCATCATGGCCTAGAATGTGCATCCTAAGAGCAGCAGGTGACTGATCAAAAGTGTGATATTTGGCTTGGGAAAATGTTGCCTTATACTGGATATCCAGATCATTTTTATTTTATTTATTTATTTATTTATTTTTACAACGTAAAAATTAACTTCATTATATTTCAGTATAGCACACAGTCCACAACAAGCATGTATTTGTTTTTATATCCCAAGAGCTGCTTCTTTCCCAACTTCAGAATTTTTGAAGTAACTTCATATTGTGTTGACATTTGTTTCTCATTCCACGTCATCTTCAGCCAAGCTCTGAGCACTTACAATTCTCTGACTAATTGTTGGGAGCTTAGTCAGAAGCATCTGGAAAACTGGTGGCGGAAGAGTTTGCTGTAACACTTGCAATAACTGCTGTGGCTGACCACACACAGCAATTGCATTTGTCAAATGGTCCACACCCTTCTCATAATCACCTTGAGCTAGTAACTCTTCACCAAGCTGAATCTCTTCAAGGAAGAATTTCTGAACAGCTTCAGCATCTTTAAGATCTGGTAACTTGGAAAGGCCAGCTCTCTCCTTGGCAAGCTTCTGTTTCTTTCGTCGCTCTCGCAGCCTGTTCTTGAAATTGGGGTCACTCCGTCTCTTGCGGTCGAAGTAAATGCAGTACCCGATGAAAAGGGCCCCGCATACGCCTGCAGCAATGGCACTGTTCCGCCCCACCATTCTTTCCTTGACTCGGGAGTGTTGCCTGTGGGGGATAGGAGGCCTGAAGGAGCCGTGGAGCGGGGCAACCTTCACTCAAACGAAGGACCCAGCTCAAACCTTGCTCCCGGCGGCTGAAAGACCCCAGATCATTTTTAAATGAAGGGATTTAAATCCTCAGCTCTTTAGTTCAGAGATTTGTCTTGTTTCTCTTGTGAAAAAAATGGAAAATATCCTGAGTTCATATTTTCCCTTGTCAACTACCAGCTGGACCACTTCCTAATGTTACCCTAGGCTCCACCAGTCTTCCTAC